GAAAATGGGAGGCAAAGGTTGCAGTGAGCTGAGATTGTGCTGCTGCACTCCAGCCTGGGCAACAGAGGAAGACTTTGTCTCAAAAAAAAAAAAAAAGTAAATAAGTAATAAAAGTGATGGGACCTGATTTCAAGTAGTCAAAATCAGAGAGACAGCAAATGGGTTGGGCTATGGGCCAGAGGGTAAAGGGATGTAATTGTTTAATGGGTACACAGTTTCAGTTTTACAAGATGAAAACAGTTCCAAAAACTGTATACCTATACATGGTTAAGATGGTAAAGTTTATGATATGTGTATTTTACCAAAATTTTTTAAATGAAAAACATTTTTTTTTTGAGACAGAATCTCGCTCTGTCGCCCAGGCTAGAGTGCAATGACGCAATCTCAGCTCACTATAAGCTCCGCCTCCCAGGTTCACACCATTCTCCTGCCTCAGCCTCCTGAGTAGCTGGGACTACAGGTGCCCACCACCACGCCTGGCTAATTTTTTTGTGTGTTTTTAGTAGAGACGGGGTTTCACCGTGTTAGCCAGGACGGTCTCGATCTCCTGACATTGTGATCCACCCGCCTCAGCCTCCCAAAGTGCTGGGATTACAGGTGTGAGCCACCTTGCCTGGCCTGAAAAACATTTTTAGGTGGTGGGACCTGTAGGGCTCCACGGGGCATCTAGCCCAGGAAAGCGTGTGGTAAATAAAAGGTCACTGCCAGGGCTGTTGAGGGGCTGACTAGGAAAGTCCTGCTTCCTAGAAAAGGGGTAAGGCCCAGGGCATTGGAGGGAGGCGTGCCTGGGAGATCAGCAGTCCTGCCTTATGGGGCAACCTGGACCAGCACCCTCCCTGCTTTGGGCCTCCTCTGTGAAGTGAGGTGTAGTCCCCTCCTGGGGCCAGCAAGTTGCCCTGTGACCTGGGCCAGCAAGCTCTAAGCCACGAGGGGCCTGGCTCCTTGCGCCCCCTGCTGGCTGGCTCGGAAACAACACACCCACAAGCCCCCCGGTTGCTCCCAACCAACCTGGCCAAGTTGCTGGGTTAAGGCAGCCTAAGTGGCCCCCTGTACCCTTCCTGCCTTTGGCTCAGAACCTCCCATGACTTCTCCCTCCATCTCTCCCTCCCAAGTTCCTGTAACCTACCTTCACCACACCAATAAGTTCAGAGACACAGACACAGAGATACGTGCACATGCTCAGGTGCAAGCTCTTGTATTTGGATCCTTTTTTTGTTTTGTTTTGTTTTTTTGTAGAGAACGGGTGTTGTTATGTTGCCCAGGCTAGTCTTGAACTCCTGAGCTCAAGCAATCTGCCCACCTCAGCCTCCCAAAATACTGGGATTACAGGCATGAGCCACCATGCCCAGCCTCCATGAATTATTATTATTTATTTCATACATAGAGAAATTGATGTTCAGAGAGGTAAAATGGCTTGCCTCACGTCACACAGCCAAGGTCATCAAAGCCTGTGTTCTAATCCTTCCCCCGTCTCTTACCCACTGCCTTTCTCCTTGGGTGTCTACTTGGGGCCTGATCTTGGGTGTGATAGTAGAACATACCTACCCTGTGGAACATACCTAACATTCACTTCTGGCCGGGCGCGGTGGCTCACGCTTGTAATCCCAGCACTTTGGGAGGCCGAGGCGGGTGGATCATGAGGTCAGGAGTTCAAGACCGTCCTGGCCAACATGGTGAAACCCCATCTCTACTAAAGACACGCAAAAAAATTAGCCGGGCATGGTGGCGCGTGTCTGTAATCCCAGCCACTCGGGAGGCTGAGGCATGAGAATCGCTTGAACCTGGGAGGCAGAGGTTGCAGTGAGCCGAGATTGTGCCATTGCACTCCATCCTGGGCGATAGGGCGAGACTCTATCTCAAAAACAAACAAACAAAAAACAGCCGGGCGCGGTGGCTCAAGCCTGTAATCCCAGCACTTTGGGAGGCCGAGACGGGCGGATCACGAGGTCAGGAGATCGAGACCATCCTGGCTAACACCGTGAAACCCCGTCTCTACTAAAAATACAAAAAACTAGCCGGGCGAGGTGGCGGGCGCCTGTAGTCCCAGCTACTCCGGAGGCTGAGGCAGGAGAATGGCGTAAACCCGGGAGGCGGAGCTTGCAGTGAGCTGAGATCCGGCCACTGCACTCCAGCCCGGGCTACAGAGCAAGACTCCGTCTAAAAAAAAAAAAAAAAAAACATTCACTCCTATGCCCAGTCTTACCTGGCCACACATAGGCCTGATGTACTGCCAGTCGTCTGCAAAGGAAGCCTATCCTGGTTTCCAGCCCCAGCCCCAAGGCTGCAAGATTGTTTAAGCATATCCATATCCAGCACAGGTGCCACCCAGCTCCTTGGCCTCATGGAGCCAATGCTCTGGACACACAGAAGGCACTGTCTTTCCTGAGAACTGGCAGTGCCCAGAGAAGGCAAGGGACCAAGCCTGGGGCAGGGAGAGAAGAGGGCCACAACTGGTATCCGTTTCTCCTGAGTTTCTGCCCTGTGCTGGCACCAGGTGTACAATCTGCTGTAAGGCCTACAGGAGCTCAGTGTAAGTGTTATTTTAGCATGATAGGAATTTCCTCACCTGTTAATGAGGGTGAGGATAGCACTGGCTTTACAGAGTTGTTGAAGGGATCCAGTAACAACAGTATTGGGACAGAGTGAGTCCTAGTAAATTAAAGCTGATTGTATTATTAATATTATTCTCAGCCAGGTACGGTGCCTCACATTGTAATCCCAGCACTGGGAGGCTGTGGCAGGAGGATGCCTTGAGCCCAGGAGTTGGAGACAAGCCTGGGCAACACAGTGAGACGACGTCTCTACAAAAAATACAAAAATTAGCTCAATTCACTTGAGATGATGAAGTCATGATCTAGGATGTTGTCACTTCAGGAAAAAAGACTGATTTGATAGACACAGAGTCTGATGTGTGGGAGCGTGTCAGAGAGAGAATCAACCTACCAGGCAACTGTGGGTTTTTTGTTTTTTGTTTTTTTTTGAGGCGGAGTCTCACTCTGTCGCCCAGGCTGGAGTGCAGTGGCCGGATCTCGGCTCACTGCAAGCTCCGCCTCCCGGATTTACGCCATTCTCCTGCCTCAGCCTCCTGAGTAGCTGGGACTACAGGCGCCCGCCACCACGCCCGGCTAGTTTTTTGTATTTTTTAGTAGAGACGGGGTTTCACTGTGTTAGCCAGGATGGTCTCGATCTCCTGACCTCGTGATCTGCCCGTCTCGGCCTCCCAAAGTGCTGGGATTACAGGCTTGAGCCACCGCGCCCGGCTAACTGTGGGTTTTTAACTCAGTGGTCAGAAGGCAGTAGAGTGGGGTCCCGGTAGGATGAAATCCAGCTCCTCCTCTAGTCCTGGAGGAGGTAGCAGGATGTTGGGTCCAGGATAGGAAATGGCTAAGGCAAGGGGACCCTTTGGCCCAGCATAGTTCCCATCCCAAGACACCCCTCAGTCCTGGGCCAACGGATAGTTGGTCTTCATAGAATAGGCAGAGGGCACAGGGTGCCTCCCATGACTAGCCCTGGGCTTGGGCCTGGCCTTGGGCCGCTCTCCGCTTTAGCTGAGTGCCCTGAGCTAAAGCACCAGACTCCCTCCTTGAGGTGACACCAAGGAATGTCTCTCCTGGGATGGGACACTACCCTTTGTTGCTCAAAGCACAGGTACTTAGTTTCAGGGGTCAGAGTACATACTTCAGGCCTCTCCTGGGAACTGCTTTCAAATCTAAGGAATGAGAGGGTGAGCTCTGGCATCCCCTTGTGTGTTAGCCCATTCTCCCACTGCTATAAAGAACTGCCCAAGACTGGGTGATTTATAAAGGAAGAGGTTTAATTGACTCACTGTTCCTCATGGCTGGGGAGGCCTCAGAAAACTTAAAATCATGGCAGAAGGGGAAGCAAACGTGTCCTTCCCATGGGGCAGGAGAGAGAAGTGCTGCTCTAAGGGGGAAAAGCTATAAAACCATCAGATCTTGTGAGAACTCACTCATTATCTCGAGCACAGCAGCATGGGGGTAACCCCCCCATGATTCGATTACCTCCCACTGGGTCCCTCCCAGGACACGTGGGGATTATGAGAACTACAATTCAGGGTGAGAGTTGGGTGGAGACACAGCCCAACCTCATCACCTTGGCTTCGATTCCTAAGGCTGTTGTCACCTACGAGCCATGCTTCGTTGTATTGCGTTTGGCAGATACCGTGGTCTGTACAAATTGAAGCTTTGTGAGAACCTTGCACCAAGCGAGTCTATTGGTCCCATCGTTCCAGCAGAATGTGTTCCCTTAGGGTCTGTGTGTCATATTTTGGTAATTCTCACAATATTTCCAACTTTATCATTATTATTATATCTGATATGGTGATCTGTGATCAGTGATCTTTGATATTACTATTGTGCTGGTTTTGGGGAACCACAAACCATGCCCATATGAGACAGTAAACTTAATAAATATGTGTGGGCCAGAGGCAGTGGCTCATGACTAATCCCAGCACTTTGGGAGGCCGAGGTGGGCAGATCACCTGAGGTCAGGAGTTCGAGATCAGTCTGGCCAACATAGTGAAACTCCATCTCTACTAAAAATACAAAAATGAGCCAGGCGTGATGGCATGTGCCTATAATCCCAGCTACTTAGGAGGCTGAGGCAGGAGAATCGCTTGGACCCAGGAGGTGGAGGTTGCAGTGAGCTGAGATTGTGCAACTGTACTTCAGCCTGGGCGACAAAACAAGACTCCATATCAAAAAAAAAAAAACAAAAAACAAGCTGGGCGTGGTGACTCACGCCTGTAATCCCAGCACTTTGGGAGGCCGAGGCGGGCAGATCACAAGGTCAGGACATCGAAACCACGGTGAAACCCGTCTCTACTAAAAATACAAAAAACTAGCCGGGCGTGGTGGCGGGCGCCTGTAGTCCCAGCTACTCAGGAGGCTGAGGCAGGAGAATGGCGTGAACCTGGGAGGTGGAGCTTGCAGTGAGCCGAGATGGCGCCACTGCACTCCAGCTTGGGTAACAGAGGGAGACTCTGTCTCAAAAAAACAAAACAAAACAAAACAAAACAAAAAATGAACAAACTGAAAAACCAGCAGCTCTTTTTCAGTTCATTGGAAAATGAGGTCGCAGGGTCATCTGCTGCCCCCAGACTGGACAGACAGAAAGGCAGACACAGAGAATCATGATTTGCCAGAGCAGAAACCTTCCCTGGAATCAGTACCTGGGTGGGAAAGCCTGAACTGCCACTGACGAATACCTGGCAGCGTGGATGTGTGCTGCTGGTTAACGTTAGGTGGCCGCTGGACTGGAGTAAGGGATACCTAGAGAATGGTGAAGCATGACTTCTGGGTGTGTATGTGAGGGCATTTCCAGAGGAGATTGGCGTGGGAGTCAGTGGACTGAGTGGGGAAGATCTGCTCTCAATGTGGGTGGCACCATGCAGTTGGTTCAAAGCTTGAATAACACAAAAGAGGAGAAAAGATTTTCCTCTCTCTCTCTCTCTCTGTCTCTCCTGGAACTGGGAGGTTCTTCTCCTCCTGCCCTTTGGATATCAAAACTCTAGGCGGTTCCACCTCGGACTGAGAATGACTGCAGTGACTACCCTGGTTCTGAGGCTTGCAGACTTGGACTGAGCCACGCTACTGGCACCCCTTGCAGATGGTCTGTCATGGGACTTCTCAGCCTCCATTAATTGCGTGAGCCAATTTCCCTATAAATCCCCTCTGATTTCTATTGATCTAGCCATCATGTTGGTTCTGTCTCTTCAAAGAACCCTAACACAAGTTTGAGAGTTGAAAACTGGCTGGGTGGGCTGGCACGGTGGCTCATGCCTGTAATCCCGGCACTCTGGGAGGCTGAGGCAGGTGGATCATGAGGTCAGGAGTTCGAGACCAGCCTGACCAACATGGTGAAACCCCATCACTACTAGAAATACAAAAAAAAAAAAAAAATTAGCCAGGCATGGTGGTGTGCACCTGTAATCCCAGTTAGGAGTCTGAGGCAGGAGAATTGCTTGAACTGGGGAGGCAGAGATTGCAGTGAGCTGAGATCATGCCATTGCACTCCAGCCTGGGCGACAGAGCGAGACTGGAGGGCAATGCATAATCTCAGCTTACTGCAGCCTCCACCTCCCGGGTTCAAGCAATTCTCGTGCCTCAGCCTCCCGAGTAGCTAGGATTACAGGTATGCGCCACCATGTCCAGCTAATTTTTGTGTTTTTAGTACAGACAGGATTTCACCGTGTTGGCCGGTCTGGTCTCAAACTCCTGACCTCAAGTGATCTGCCCACCTCAGCCTCCCAAAGTGCTGGAATTACAAGCGTGAGCCAGTGTGCCTGGCCCAAACATTCTTTTTCTTTTTTTGTTTTTTGAGATGGAGTTTCACTTTTGTTGCCCAGGCTGGAGTGCAATAGTGCAGTGGCTCACTGCACCCTCCACCTCCCTGGTTCAAGTGATTCTCCTGTCTCAGCCTCCCAAGTAGCTGGAATTACAGGCACATGCCACACGCTTCGCTAATTTTTGTAGTTTTAGTAGAGATGGGGTTTCATCATATTGGTCAGACTGGTCTCAAACTCCTGACCTCAGGTTTATCTGCCCGCCTCGGCCTCCCAAAGTGCCGGGATTGCAGGCATGAGCCACCGTGCCTGGCCTTTTTTTTTTTTTTTTTTTTTTTGATACAGGGGTCTCACTGTGTTGCCTAGGGTGGAGTGCAGTGGAGCAATTTTGGCTCACTGCTGCAACCTCTGCCTCCTGGGCTCAAGCAATTCTAGTGCCTCAGTAGCTGGGACTACAGGTGCGTGCGACCTCACCCAGCTAATTTTTGTATTTTTGGTAGAGACTGGGTTTTGCCATGTTGGCCAGGCTGGTCTCAAACTCCTGACCTCAGGTGACCCACTCACCTCGGCCTCCCAAAGTGCTGGGATTACAGGCATGAGCCACCGCGCCCAGCCTCAGCCATTTGTGGGTTTTTTTGTCTTTTTTTTTTTTTTTGAGGTGGAGTCTCACTCTGTTGTCCAGGCTGGAGTGCAGTGGCAAGATCTGGGCTCACTGCAAGCTCCGCCTCCTGGTTCACACCATTCTCCTGCCTCAGCCTCCCGAGTAGCTGGGACTACAGGTGCCCGCCACCACTCCCGGCTAATTTTCTGTATTTTTAGTAGAGATGGGGTTTCACGGTGTTAGCCAGGATGGTCTCGATCTCCTGACCTCATGATCCGCCCGTCTCGGCCTCCCAAAGTGCTGGGATTACAGGCGTGAGCCACCGCGCCTGGCCTGTGTATCTTTTCTGGAAACATTCAGATTTATGATTTTCAGATATTTCCTCCCATTCCATGGGCTGTCTTTTCATTTTCTTAATGGGTATTCTTGAAGCACAAAAGTTCTGAATTTTGATAAGGTCCAGTTTATTTTTTCTTTTGTTGTGTATACTTTGGATGTTATGTCTGAGAAAGCCAAGGTCACAGAGATTTACTCCTGTTTTCTTCTAGTTTTATTGTTTTAGTTCATACATTTAGTTATGTGATTCACTTTGAATTAATTTTAGTATATGGGGCAGGGCACATGGCTCACACATGTAGTTTCAGCACTTTGGGAAGCTGAGGAAAGAGGATCACTTGAAGCCAGGGGTTCAAGAACAGCCTGAGCTGGCCAGGCACAGTGGCTCATGCTTGCAATCCTGGCACTGTGGGAGGCTGTCAGGAGCAGAACAACTTCAGGCCAGGAGTTCAAGACCAGCTGGCCAATATAGCAAAACCCCGTCTCTAATTAAAATACAAAAATTAGCCAGGCATGGTGGCACACACTTATAATCCCAGCTACTCAGGAGGTTGAGGCAGGAGAATCACTTGAACACAGGAAGTCGAGGCTGCAGTGAGCTGAGAAGGTACCAATGCACTCCAGCCTGAATGACAATGTGAGACCCTATCTCAAAACAATAATAATAAAGAAAGAAAATGAAAAATGTATATGTGTGTATTCCGTGAGATAGAAGTCCAAATTCATTCTTTTCTTTTTTCTTTTTTTTGAGACGGAGTCTTGCTTTGTCTCCCAGGCTGGAGTACAGTGGTGTGATCTCAGCTCACTGCAACCTCTGTCTCCCAGGTTGAAACAATTCTCTGCCTCAGCCTCCTGAGTAGCTGGGATTACAGGTGCCCGCCACCACACCTGGCTAATTTTTTGTGTTTTTGGTGGAGACAGGGTTTCACCATCCTGGCCAAGCTGGTCTTGAACTCCTGACCTTGTGATCAACCTGCCTCGGCCTGCCAAAGTGCTAGGATTACAGGCATGAGCTGGCGCGCCCAGCCCCAAATTCATTCATTTACACGTGGATATTTAGTTGTCCTAGCACCATTTGTTCGTTTGTTGAAAAGATTATTTCCCACCCCCAATCCCCCCACTTTTTTTTTTTTGAGCCGGTGTCTCCCTCTGTCGCCCAGGCTAGAGTGCAGTGGCGTGATCTTGGCTCACTGAACCTCTGCCTCCTGGGTTCCAGTGATTCTCCTACCTCAGTCTCCCGGGTAGCTGGGACTACAGGCACACACCACCACATCCGGCTAATTTTGTATTTTTCATAGAGATGGGGTTTTACCATTTTGGCCAGACTGGTATCGAACTCCTGACCTCAGGTGATCCATCTACCTCAGCCTCACAAAGTGCTGGGATTACAGGCATGAGCCACCACGCCCGGCCTCCCCACCTGTTTTTTTGAGACAGAGTCTCATTTTGTTGCTTAGGCTGGACTACAGTGGCACCATCTCAGCTCATTGCAACCTCTGCCTGCCAGGTTCAAGCGATTCTCCTGCCTCAGCCTCGCAAGTAGCTGGGACTACAGTCATGTGCTACCACGCCCAGCTAATTTTTGTATTTTTATTAAGATGGGGTTTTGCCATATGTCCAGTCTGGTCTCGAACTCCTGACCTCAAATGATCCTCTCACCTTGGCCTCCCAAAGTGTTGGTGTTACAGGCATGAGTCACACCTGACCGCCCAATTTTTTTTTTTTTTTTTTTTTTTTTTTTTTTTTTTTTTTTTTTGAGACAGTCTTGCTCTGTCACCCAGGCTGGAGTGCAGTGAGTGGTGCAATCTCAGCTCACTGCATCCTCCACCTCATGAGTTCAAGTGATTCTTTTGCCTCAGCCTCCCAATAACTGGGATTACAGGGCACACCACCATGCCTGGCTAATTTTTGTATTTTTAGTAGAGATGAGGTTTCAGCATGTTGGCCAGGCTGGTCACAAACTTCTGACCTGAAGTGATCCACCTGCCTCAGCCTCCCACAGTGCTGGGATTACAGGCGTGAGCCACCGCGCCTGGCCCCCATTTGAGTTTCTTACATCTTATCAAATAGGAATTGTCCATAAATGTGAGAGTTTATTTCTGGACTGTCAATTCTATTCAATTGACTTATATATCTGTCTTTAAGCCAGTATCATACTTTCTTGGTTCCTGTATGTTTGTATTAAGCTTCCAAATTGTGCAGTGTGATTTCTTCAACTTTTTTCTTCTTTCTCAGGCATTGACTTTTTTTTTTTTTTTTTTAAGACGGAGTCTCGCTCTGTCACCCAGGCTGGAGTACAGTGGCTTGATCTCGGCTCACTGCAAGCTCCGCCTCCCGGGTTCATGCCATTATCCTGCCTCAGCCTCCCGAGTAGCTAGACTACAGGCACCCACCACCACGCCCGGCTAATTTTTTGTATTTTAGTAGAGACGGGGTTTCACCGTGTTAGCCGGGATGGTCTCAATCTCCTGACCTCGTGATCTGCCCGTCTCGGCCTCCCAAAGTGCTGGGATTACAGGCATGAGCCACCACGCCTGGCATTTTTTTTTTTTTTTTTTTGAGACATACCTCCTCCTGTCGCCCAGGCTGGAGTGCACTGGGTGGGATCAGGGCTCACTGTAGCCTTGACCTCTCCAGGATCAAGTGATCCTCCCGCTTTAGCTTCCCCAGTAGCTGGGACTACAGGTGTGCACCATTGCGCCTGGTCAATTTTTGTATTTTTGTAGAGACGGTGTTTCAGTATGTTGCCCAGGCTGGTCTCAAACTCCTGGGCTCAAGAGATCCTCCTGCTTTGGCCTCCCAAAGTGCTGAGTTTACAGGTGTGAGACACATTGCCCTGCTTGAATTTGTTGATTGCATCTCCATGATGTATTTAACATGTTCTTCTGTCCTTGTATTTTAGTCATTCAACAGTGTGATCTAATTTAGGGCCACTTTTACCGCAGGAATAATTTGCAGGTGGTGCGTGTGTTTCCAGAGTCAGAACGTGTTTGGTTTATGCTCTTGGTGATATTCCGTGCTATCAGTGATCCTCTCCTGGATCATTGTTTAATTAGAGGTGATTTGTGTTTTGAAAGGGTCCCTTGGGTTGCTGGGGGGTGTAGTGTGCATGAGCAACAGAGTTGTTGCAAGGACGGAGTCAGATAATCATGCAGCAAAGCACTTGATGCTATTCCTGGCACACAATGACCATATTGTTGTTGTTATTGTTAGAGCTGTAGGGGGGTACCCAAGTCCTGAGCTCAGAGGCATTTTCTGGCCAGGGCTGTCTCCTCCCTTCTCCTCTGCCCCTGGAGAAGTCTGCAGTGCCCCAAAGCTCTGGGAGGCATGTTCAGGACTGCAGCAGCCATCTCTGTGTACCTGGTGGGGCCCCTTCGGGGAAGGAAGGCTGGAGCCCCACTCGCTCGGTGCTTGCACCAGACTGTAAGTGCCCTAACCCCAATACTTTGCCACCTGCATGGCCTGGGGCTTCTGGGGTCTGGCTCGTTCCTGGATTCAAAGCTGTGCATGAGCCTTCTTTTTCAGGGGCCCTCTTTAACTGCAGCCTGGATGTGTGCTTCTCCCTTGCCCCTGCTTCTCTAGTCTAGAACTTGTAGCTCTGCATCTGAATAATCGGCTTGGGCGCTGTAGGGTGCTGCTTCCCATGATCCCCTGTGCCCAGCCCAGAACCCAGTACATGGTAAGGGCTCAATACATGTCAACTGAGCCAGGCGTGATGGGGTTCCTGGGCTATGGAAGACCTGGCGCTTACTCAAATGGTCCCCAAGGCCCTTTCAGGACAGGGGGGCCTGGTGTTGAGATTACTGTGGCTGCCACCCTGACCAGGTCCTTGCCAGCTTCTCCTCTGACCTTGGGCAGGTACGTGAGCCTCTTTGAGCCTCAGTGTCCTCATCTGTTAGATGGACACTGTTGTGGCACCTCTGGTGAGAGTGCAGTGGGAACTGAGCGAGGTGGAACCGAGCAAAATCCTGAGCCAGGGTTCACTATTGGCCACAGCAGGCAGCTGAGAAGAATGTTGGATCCCCGGCTCCACGGCCCACCAGCCATCTGGGACTGGCAAACCCATAGGGACAGAAGGTTCCTCAGAGACCACAAAGCCCATGCGAGGTCTCTGGTGTTGAAGGGATTTTGAGGACAGGAGGAGCCAAATTACCTATCCAGGGTCACCCAGCCAAGGCAGGTTAGGACCTGAGTTTGGTGGCTCTCAGGTCTGGCCAGTTTCTTTCTTTCTTTCTTTCTTTTTTTTTTTTTTTTGATGGAATCTTGCTCTGTCACCCAGGCTGGAGTGCAGTGGCATGATCTTGGCCCACTGCAACCTCCGCCTCCCAGGTTCAAGTGATTCTCAGGCCTCAGCCTCCTGAGCAGCTGGGATTACAGGTGTGTGTCACGACGCCCAACTAAGTTTTTTTTTTTTTTTTTTTTCCAAATTGAGTTTCGCTCCAGTGCTCAGGCTGGAGTGCAGTGGCCTGCTCTCGCCTCACTGCAACATCCGTCTCCTGGGTTCAAGCGATTTCTGTGCCTCAGCCTCCCGAGTAGCTGGGATTACAGGTGCATGCCACCACGCCCAACTAATTTTCGTATTTTTAGTAAGGATGAGATTTTACCATGTTGGCCAGCTGGTCTCGAACTCCTGACCTCAGGTGATCTACCTGCCTCAGCCTCCCAAAGTGCTGGGATTACAGGCATGAGCCATTGCACCCAGTCCCTGGCCAGTTTCTGCACACCGGTGGCTGGGTAGGGAGCTGGCCTGGGAGGAACACTGGGAGGGGAGGGGGCGAGCCGGGAGCCAGGACCCTGGAACTCTCCCAGGACTGGATTAGTGCCTCCCTCAGAGTTAGGACATGGCCTTGGGTCCAACAGGCCTAAGTCTGAGTGGGTGTGTTGTGTGGCCTTAAACACATCACTCCCTCCCCTGCACCCTCCAGCCTGTTTTCCAATTCCTGTTTTCTCATTGATAAGATGGGCCTGGCCAGGTCATTCTGGGAATGAAATGGAAGTGCTTAGCAAGACCTCTGTAAGTGGAGGCTGCTGCTGTCACTGTTGCCATTATCCTCCCTTTCTGCTCCACTGACCTCCTGCTCTTCTTCCTTAACCCTCAGCCCTTCCTGAGTCAGACTAACCTGACCAAGTCAGGGCTCTGTCTCAGGACACGTGGAGCCAGGGCTAGAAGCCTCCACTGGACAGGCGCCAGGCAGCCCCTGCAGGTTGGGGAGGTGGAGGCTGCTGGAGTCGGGAGGAGCCAGGTGAGGGTGTTGGAACATAACAGGCTTGGGAGGCAGGCAGAAACCTGCCCTTCTGCGAGCTCTGATCTCTGCCCCCTCCTGGGAGCAGACAGGGTAGGGCTGTGGCCTGAAAGCAGCTGTCCCTCCTTTGCGCAAGCCCGGACCGCTGCACCCAGACAGATTCCATCTCTGACCTTCCACTTGTTCGTCTCCAGCTCACCATGGCCAAACAGCTGCAGGCCCGAAGGCTAGACGGGATCGACCACAACCCCTGGTGAGCCAGCTGAGCTGGGGAGGTGTGTGGGTGTCCCCTCGGGCATGGGTTGGCCATCTGTGGGTTCACAGCAACTCAGCAGTACCCCGGATGGCGGCGGTACACAGACTGCCAGATTCTAGCCACAGCTCAGGAGAGGCAGGGCCCGAGGGAGCAGGCTTGGTTCAAATCTCAGCTTTCTCCTGCATGACTGTGGCACTAGGACAGGTGACATACCTGCTCTGAGCCTCACGTCCCCAGCTGCAAAATGAAGAATTATACCCACCTGGAGAGCACTGGGGAGGAGAAAGTGAAATGCCGTCCAAAGCCATTTACCCAGGCGCCAGGCTAAGCGCTTTCCAGGGATGACTTTCTTTCTCACTTGGTGCAGAGTCAGATACCCTAAGACAAGTAAGATAAGCAAGTAAGATATAGTCGGATCTTCACCAGACATTTGCAGAGGTTAATATTGTTTTCTTTTTTGACTTGTTCTCTTTTCATTTTATTTTTGAGGTGGAGTTTTGCTCTTGTCGCCCGGGCTAGAGTGCAATGGCGCGGTCTTGGCTCACTGCAACCTCTGCCTCCCAGGTTCAAATGATTCTCCTGCTTCAGCCTGCCGAGTAGCTGGGATTACAGGCGTGCAACACAATGCCCAGCTAATTTTTTTTCTTTTTTTTCCCCCCAGATGGAGTCTTACTCTATTGCCCAGGCTGGAGTGCAGTGGCATGATCTCGGCTCACTGCAGCCTCCCCCTCACGGGTTCAAGCAATTCTCCTGCCTCAGCCTCCCAAGTAGCTGGGATTACAGGAGTGCGCCAACCACATCCAGCTAATTTTTTTTTTTTTTTTTAGTAGAGAATGTGTTTCACCATGTTGGCCAGGCTGGTCTCGAACTCCTGACCTTGTGATCCACCCGCCTCAGCCTCCCAAAGTACTGGGATTACAGGCATGCGCCACCGCACCTGGCCCTAATTTTTATATTTTTAGAGAAGATGGGGTTTCACCATGTTGTCCAGGCTGGTCTCAAACTCCTGACCTCAAGGGATCTGCCTGCTTCGGCCTTCCAAAGTGCTGGGGAATGCAGGTGTGAGCCACCGTGCCCAGCCCAAAATGACACATTTTAGACATATTTATTGGTATGCAAATTCAACTCAGCCAAGTCTTGACTCTGCTCCAAACTAGCCCCAAACCACATACCAGCCTCTTCATCCAGCTTCCCAGCCTTTCTCCCATCTAGAGAGATGGCCACCAGGCAGAGCCAGAACAGACGATTATGGGTCCAGAGATGATGTGTGCCTGGGCTGGTGGGGCCCTGTTCTGCCCAGAGTAGGGTAAAGAGCATAAAACTTTGCTTGAGGTGGAAGTAGAAAGGCTGACTGGCTGTGCCTTGTACTAGCTGGGAGGCTTTAGGCAAGTCACTCCACTCCTTATCCCCACAGTGGTCCAGGAACAGGATGTGCCTCACAGGCCATTGTGAAGGTTGTATGAGCAGCGCGTTTAACTGTGCTGTTGACAAATCCAAGGAGGAGTCATGCAATCTGTACAGGGAGTCTCAACTAGTATTTGGAAAGAATAGAGTAGGATAGGACAGGACAGGAAATACTGCAGTAGATTGCACCAAGAAGGATGAAGCTTCCATTCCATGTTTGTGCTGCACAGGGTTGATGATGCAAAGATGATTTCTTGGCCGGGTGTGGTGGTTCATGCCTGTCCTCCCAGAACTTTGGGAGGCTGAGGCGGGTGGATCACCTGAGGTCAGGAGTTCGAGACCAGCCTGGCCAACATAGTGAAACTCTGTCTGTACTAAAAATACAAAAATTGGCCGGGCGCGGTGGCTCAAGCCTGTAATCCCAGCACTTTGGGAGGCCGAGACGGGCGGATCACGAGGTCAGGAGATCGAGACCATCCTGGCTAACACGGTGAAACCCTGTCTCTACTAAAAAATACAAAAAACGGCCGGGCGCGGTGGCTCAAGCCTGTAATCCCAGCACTTTGGGAGGCCGAGACGGGTGGATCACGAGGTCAGGAGATCGAGACCAACCTGGTGAACATGGTGAAACCCCGTCTCTACTAAAAAATACAAAAAAAAAAACTAGCCGGGCGAGGTGGCGGGCGCCTGTAGTCCCAGCTACTCGGGAGGCTGAGGCAGGAGAATGGCGTGAACCCGGGAGGCGGAGCTTGCAGTGAGCTGAGATCCGGCCACTGCAACTCCAGCCCGGGAGACAGAGCGAGACTCCGTCTCAAAAAAAAAAAAAAAAAAAAAAAAAAAAACTAACCGGGCGAGGTGGCGGGCGCCTGTAGTCCCAGCTACACAGGAGGCTGAGGCAGGAGAATGGCATAAACCCGGGAGGCGGAGCTTGCAGTGAGCTGAGATCGGGCCACTGCACTCCAGCCTGGGCGGCAGAGCAAGACTCCGTCTCAAAAAAAAAAAAAACAAAAACAAAAACAAAAAAAAACAAAAATTAACCAGGCGTGGTGGCGGGCGCCTGTAATCCCAGCTACTCGGGAGGCTGAGGCATGAGAATCGCTTGAACTCGGGAGGCGGAGGTTGCAGTGAGTTGAGATTGTGCCACTGCACTCCAGCCTAGGGGATAGAGTGAGACTCTGTCTCAAAAAAAAAAAGGGGGGGGCCGGGCGAGGTGGCTCACGCCTGTAATCCCAGCACTTTGGGAGGCTGAGACGGCAGATCACGAGGTCAGGAGATCGAGACCATCCTGGCTAACACAGTGAAACCCCGTCTCTACTAAAAATACAAAAAATTAGCCAGGTGCAGTGTCGGGCACCTGTAGTCCCAGCTACACAGGAGGCTGAGGCAGGAGAATGGCGTGAAACCGGGAGGCGGAGCTTGCAGTGAGCCGAGATTGCACAGCCTGGGTGACAGAGCGAGACTAGACTCTGTCTCAAAAAAAAAAAAAAAAAAAGAAAGAAAGATGCTTTCTTCCTATGGGACGTGGTGGAAGAACCTGGAAAGCCCCTGGGCTGACTCCTGTGATCATCAGTGTGCCTGACTGACTAATCTCAATACAGGGGACCAGCTGTGGCACTCAGGCAGCTCTTCAGGCTAGGACAGTCGCTGGTTTTCCAGTTTTTGTTTTTCTTGCGTGTGGTTTTTTTTTTTTTTTTTTTTTTAGACGGAGTCTCGCTCTTGTCATCCAGGCTGGAGTGTGATGGTGCGATCTCGGCTCACTTCAACCTCCAGTACCGGGGTTCAAGCGATTCTCCTGCCTCAGCCTCCCGAGTAGCTGGGATTACAGGCCCCTGCCACCATGCCCGACTAACTTTTATCTTTTTAGTGAAGACAGAGTTTCACCACGTTGGCCAGGCTGGTCTCAAACTCCTGACCTCAGGTGATCCGCCCACCTCGGCCTCCCAAAGTGCTGGGATTACAGGCGTGAGCCACCACGCCCGGCCAATTGTCCAGTTTTTCTAAACAGGCCAAAGTCCAGGTCACCATGTAGGGCTGGTCTGGTGCTGATTCTCCGTTTGTTACCCAGGGTGGAGTTTGTCAAACTGGCCAGTGAGCATGACGTCGTGAACTTGGGCCAGGGCTTCCCGGATTTCCCGCCCCCAGACTTTGCTGTGGAAGCCTTTCAGCATGCTGTCAGTGGAGACTTCATGCTCAACCAGTACACCAAGGCATTTGTGAGTCTCCCCGTCTCCCTGGAGGCACTGGGGGATGGGGCTTTCTGGACATCAAGCCCACACAGGCATCAGGCTTCAGGGGACAGAGCCAGGGGATTCTGTGTGACCATAGTTCAGTGTTTACTGAGCGTGTCCTCTGTCCCAGAGCCTGTGCCTTATGGTCTAGTGGGGATGGCAGACAAGAAACCAGTAATGACAGGCAGTGGCTATGTGCCGTGATGGAGGAGGGTGGGATACCGCGGAAGTGAGAAAGAGGGAACGAAACCTGGGGAGGGGACTGGAGAGATGCGCTAAGACTTCCTGGAGGAGGTGACACTTAAACCAAGTCCTGAAAGACAAGCTACTATTTGGATTACACTCTAAATCCAAACTTTTTCCGGAAAGGACCACGTAGTAAATACGCGACAGTACCTGGATTAGAACTGTGGTTCTTTTTTCCTTTTTCTTTTTTGAGACAGGGTCTCACTCTGTTATCCAGGCTGGAATGCAGTGGCGCGATCATGGTCCACGGCAGCCTCGACCCTGCCAGGCTCAAGTGGTCCTCCCACCTCAGCCTCTGGAGTAACTGGGACTACAGGTGTGCGTCACCATGCCCAGCTAATTTTATTTATTTATTTATTTATCTTTGAGTCAGGGTCTCACTCTTGTCACCTAGGCTAGAGTGTAGTGACATGATCACGGCTTACTGAAGCCTCTACCTCTTGCGGCTCACATGATATGTCATTTCCTGGGGCTCATGTGATCCTCCCACCTCAGCCTGTAGAGTTGCTGGGACAACAGGGGTACGCCACCTCGCCCAGCTAATTTTTTTTGTATTTTTTGTAGAGACAGGGTTTCACCATGTTGCTCAGACTGGTCTCAAACTCCTGGGCTCAAGTGATCCTGCCACCTCAACCTCTGAAAGTGCTGGGATTACAGGCGTGAGCCACTGCGCCCTCGTTCTTTTTTTTTTTTTTTTTTGAGACGGAGTCTCCCTCTGTCGCCAGGTTGGAGTGCAGTGGCGCAATCTCAGCTCACTGCAACCTCCGCCTCCCAGGGTCAAGAGATTCTCCTGCCTCAGCCTCCCAAGTAGCTGGGACTATAGGCGTGCACCACCACGCCCAGCTAATTTTTGTATTTTTAGTGGAGATGGGGTTTCACGATGTTAGCCAGGATGGTCTTGATCCCTTGACCTCGTGATCCACCCACCTGGGCCTCCCAGAGTGCTGGGATTACAGGCGTGAGCCACTGCACTCGACCGCACTCATTCTTTTTAATGGCTGCATACTGTTCTGTTGCCTAGATGTGCCGTAATGTATTTAAGCACCCCTGCACTGATGGCCTGCATCTGCTGTCTCAGTATCATAAGCAGTGCCACGGCGAATTTCCCTGTGTGGACATCTTTGTATACATGTGCATTTCTCTAAGACAAATTCCTAGAAGTAAAACTAGCGAATGAAAGGCTATAAATATTTATAAATACAATAGGTGGATATTGTTAAGAAATAGTGTGTGCCTGTAATCCCAGCTACTTGGGAGTCTGTGGCAGGAAGATCGCTTGAGCCCAGGAGTTTGAGGCCAGTGCACCATAGTGAGATCCTGTCTCAAAAATTAACACCTAAGTAAATAATTGCCTTCCAGTAAGGTTTACTCATTTACATCCCTGCCAATAGGCTGGTCTCAGAGTTGGTTGTAAAGTTCCTTCTTTGATCCAAAAAAAAAAAAAAAAAAAAAACCATCTGGATATGTATCTTTTTCTTGCTGCTTTTTCTTTTCTTTCTTTTTTCTTTTTTTTTTTAATAGAGACAGGGGCCGGGCATGGTGGCTCACGCCTGTAATCCCAGCATTCTGGTAGGCTGAGGCTGGCAGATCACCTGAGGTCAGGAGTTCAAGACCAGCCTGGCCAACATGGTGAAACCCCGTCTCTAATAAAAATTAGATGGGTGTGGTGGCGGGCGCCTGTAATCCCAACTACTTGGGAGACTGAGGCACAAGAATCGCTTGAACCCGGGAGGTGGAGGTTGCAGTGAGCTGAGGTGGCACCATTGCACTCCAGCCAGGGTGACAACAACAACAACAACAACAAAATAGAGACAGGGTCTCCTTATGTTACCCAGGCTGGTCTCAAACTCCTGGGCTCAAGCAATCCTCCCACCTTAGCCTCCCAAAGTGCTGGGATTACAGGCATGAGCCACTGTGCCCAGCCTCATTAAATATGTTACTTCTTTCTTTTTTTTTTTTTTTTTTTTTTTTTTTTTTTTTTTTTTTTGAGACGGAGTCTCACGCTGTTGCCCAGGCTGGAGTGCAGTGGCGCGATCTCGGCTCACTGCAAGCTCTGCCTCCCGGGTTCCCGCCATTCTCCTGCCTCAGCCTCCTGAGTGGCTGGGACTACAGGCGCCCGCCACCGCGCCCGGCTAATTTTTTGTATTTTTAGTAGAGATGGGGTTTCACTGTGGTCTCGATCTCCTGACCTTGTGATCCGCCCGCCTCGGCCTCCCAAAGAGCTGGGATTACAGGCTTGAGCCACCGCGCCCGGCCACTTCTTTCTTTTATGTTGCAATATTTCTCTCTTCCTGTTTTAACTTTGCTCATGGTGCCTTTTATTTTTATTTAATTAATTAATTTATTGTCTGAGACAGAGTCTCAATTCTATTACCCAGACTGGTGTGATCATAGCTCACTGCAGCCTTGATCTCCTGGGCTCAAGCAATCCTCCTGCCTCAACCTCCCGAGTACCTGGGACTACAGGCATGTGACACCACACCTGGATAATTTTTTTATTTTCCATCAGTAGAGATGGAGTCACTCTGTGTTGCCCAGGCTGTTCTCAAACTGGCCTCAAGCAACCCTCCTGCCTCATTCTCCGAAAGTGCTAGGATTACAGGAGTGAGCCACTGTGCCTGGCCTGTGCCTTTTGTTGTACAGAAAATTTTTATTTTTGTGTGGCCAAATCTGGTTTAGTGAGTTACTGAGTTAAGTTCTAGACAAGGTTTTGATCACTTGGCTTAGCCTTGAGTATTTTTGTTTTGTTTTGTTTGTTTGTATTTTTTTTGAGACAGAGTCTCGCTCTGTCGCCCAGGCTGGAGTGCAGTGGTGTGATCTCGGCTCACTGCAAACTCCGTCTCCCGGGTTCACGCTATTCTCCTGCCTCAGCCTCCTGAGTAGCTGGGACTACAGGTGCCTGCCACCACGCCCGGCTAATTTTTTGTATTTTTAGTAGAGACGGGGTTTCACTTTGAGAATTTTATAAGTGTCCTCAGCAAACAAGTTTCTGGATCTAATCTTCTTCTCAAAAAGGGGTGCTTCCAAAGCTGCAACATGAGGTTCCTGACCCTCAACTGTGTGTGACTTTAGACAAGTAATTTCTTTTCTCTGGGTCTCTATTTTTCTACCTGTCAAATAGTGGGGATCAGGCCAGGCGCGGTGGCTTACATCTATAATCCCAGCACTTTGGGAGGCTAAGGCAGGCGGATTACCTGAGGTCAGAAGTTCAAAACCAGCCTGGCCAACATAGTGAAACCCTGTCTGCACTAAAAACACAAAAATTGACCGGGCATGGTGGCGCGTGCCTGTCGTCCCAGCTACTTGGGAGGCTGAGGTAGGAGAATCACCTGAACCCAGGAGGCGGAGGTTGCAGTGAGCCACGATTGTGCCATTGCACTCTACCCTGGGTGACATGAGTGAGACCCTGTCTCAAAAACAACAACAACAACAAAAAAAACCTCTCCTGCAAAGCTGCTGGGAGGATCAGGTGGGCACAAACATGACAAACATACTTCTTAAACTTAGAGATGTGGAAAGTGGGGAGTTTCTACTGCCTCGTGGGCTCTTGGACTGAGGTTCATGGAGGCAAACACTTCCTCTGGTTCTCTGCTGAATCCCCACCCTGGGCTCCGGGCCTGGCACAGAACAGGCGCTGTGGCAAATGCTGGTGGAGGAGATGGAAGAGCGTATATCTGAGTCAGTGCAGGCCTGGTGGTTGGGACCCTGGAGTCTGGGACCATATAGATTGTGTAACCTTTACCTCCCAGAGTACACAGGATCACAATAGCACCTGCCTCTGGGTTGCTGCAAGGATGAGATCAAAGAAATCCCACAAATAGCTTGGTGTGTAGAGAAATCCAGCGTGTTGAAAGCTAATCTATTCCATGTCCCCTGGGGCCCAGGCTACCAGTATCTGACTTTGCCCCAGGCTTGCTGCTGGAAGGTGCTAGAACTGCCTGGATACAGCTGGGCAAGAGGATGGGCCCGGCTGAGCTGGACAGTTGACCCCCGCTGTCCTGGCAGGGTTACCCACCGCTGACGAAGGTCCTGGCAAGTTTCTTTGGGAAGCTTCTGGGTCAGGAGATGGACCCGCTCAGGAATGTGCTCGTGACTGTCGGTGGCTATGGGGCCCTGTTCACAGCCTTCCAGGCCCTGGTGGATGAAGGAGATGAGGTGAGTGGGCAAGACTTGGGCTGAGTGGGACCGAGAGGTCAGGGCCGTGCTGACTCCAGCGGATTTGAACCTTCTATCAGGTCATCATCATCGAACCCTTTTTTGACTGCTACGAGCCCATGACAGTGATGGCAGGGGGTCGCCCTGTGTTTGTGCCCCTGAAGCCGGTAAGGATGCTAGGTAGAGGATGGATGGGCAGAGGGATCCAAGGCACGGGCTGAGTTGGACCCTGGGCGTTGGAACAGGAGGAAGGAAGTGAAGGAAGCCAGTTCCCCTAAGCTGGGAGGGCAGAGGGGAGGTGTGTGTGTTGGGATCCCAGGGGAGAGAAGGTGGGGATGGATGCTGGGGGAAGAGCTGCACGTCAGGTGGGTAAGTGGTGCCGCCCCTGCCACCTTGCAGGGTCCCATCCAGAATGGAGAACTGGGTTCCAGCAGCAACTGGCAGCTGGACTCCATGGAGCTGGCCAGCAAATTCACATCACGCACCAAAGCCCTGGTCCTCAACACCCCCAACAACCCCCTGGGCAAGGTACTGGAGGGACCTCCTTCCCTGGCCCCCTGCAGAGCTAGTCATGTCTCCTGCACCGTTACTGAGTTGCTACTGTGGGGCCTCCGTGTGGGAGGGCCACACACAATGAGCTCTGAGGACCAAGGCTCCAGAGGTCCCAGGACAGGGGCAGGAATACCCAGGGAAGGCCTGAGGGCTGGAACAGTGAACTGGGCTGGGAGCCCCCATCACTTCCCAGTGACCATGGAATAGTGACTATGCTTCTCAAAGTATCTCATGTGTAACGTGGGAACCTGAGGGAACTGACCTCGTGGGTCATTGTTGCAGGGATCCAGTGCAATGGTATGGAACAGCCCATAGCACTGGGCTTGGCTGTATTCGCCATTTACTCATTTTTTCGAGACGGAGTCTCGCTCTGTCTCCCAGGCTGGAGTGTAGTGGCGTGATTTTGGGTCATTGCAACCTCCGCCTCCTGGGTTCAAGCAATTCTCCTGCCTCAGCCTTCCGAGTAGCTGGGATTACAGGCACCTGCCAACATGCCCAGCTAATTTTTGTGTTTTTGGTAGAGACGGGGTTTCTCCATGTTGGCCAGGCTGGTCTCAAACTCCTGACCTCCAGTGTTCTGCCCGCCTTGGCCTCCCAAAGTGCTAGGATTACAGGCGTGAGCCACCGCACTGGCCGCAGCTGTGTTCTTTAACCTCTCTGAGTAGGCCTCTGTGTTTGGGGATGGTCTCAGCTGCAGGTCTGGGCTCTCCTTGGGCATCCACAGGTGTTCTCCAGGGAAGAGCTGGAGCTGGTGGCCAGCCTGTGCCAGCAGCATGATGTGGTGTGTATCACTGATGAAGTCTACCAGTGGATGGTCTACGATGGGCATCCTCACATCAGCATTGGTGAGCCAAGCCTGCCCAGGGCCCCTCCCCTGAACATTGGTGGCAGGGCCTTGACCCCACCTGAGAGTCAGCGCAGGCCTGGTAGTTAGAACCCAGGGTTCTGGAGCCCTGCAGATCCTGTGACCTTTGCCTCCCAGAGTACACAGGAAAACAAAAAACAATAGCATCTGCCCCCCTGGTTGTCGAAAGGATGAGGTCAAAGAAATCCTATGCTGGGCATAGGATTACAGGCTCACGTCTGTAATCCCAGCACTTTGGGAGGCTGAGGCTGGCAGATCACTGGAGGTCAGGAGTTCGAGACCAGCCTGGCCAACATGGTGAAATCCCGTGTCTACTAAAAGTACAAAAATTAGCTGGGCATGGTGGTGCGTGCCTGTAGTCCCAGCTACTCAGGAAGCTGAGGTAGGAGGATCACTGGAACCCGGGAGGCGGAGGTTGCAATGAGCTGAGATGGTGCCATTGCATTGCTGCCTGGGCAACAGAGCGAAACTCCATCTCAAAAAAGAACAAAAGAAAGAAAGAAATTCTGCAAATAGCTTAGTATGTAGAGGAGTCCAGGAAGTCAAGAGCCTATGGGTGCCCCCTGGGGCCCAGACCACCACCCTTCCCCTTACCCCTCACCCCAGTCTCAGCAGCTGCTCTGTTCGGCCTTGGGCAGCCAGCCTCCCTGGCATGTGGGAACGGACCCTGACCATTGGCAGCGCCGGCAAGACCTTCAGCGCCACTGGCTGGAAGGTGAGTTGCTGAGGGTGGGAAGTCACCAGCCCCTGCAAGATCCTTGGCAAGTGAGGTGGGCCTGGGAATGAAGAAGGCTTTAGCCAGGCCTGGAAGGACCTCCCCCACTACCTGTGCTCCTGCTCCAGGTGGGCTGGGTCCTGGGTCCAGATCACATCATGAAGCACCTGCGGACCGTGCACCAGAACTCCATCTTCCACTGCCCCACGCAGAGCCAGGTGAAGAGGGCAGGGGACGCCATGGGGGAGCAGGGAGACAATGAAAGAGCCCAGGCTGGCCCCCGCGTCAGGGAACAGCTAATCTGTCTGGGTGTCTGTCTGCCCTGCCTAGGCCGCAGTAGCCGAGAGCTTTGAGCGGGAGCAGCTGCTCTTCGGCCAACCCAGCAGCTACTTTGTGCAGTTCCCGCAGGCCATGCAGCGCTGCCGGGACCACATGGTACGCAGCCTACAGTCAGTGGGCCTGAAGCCCGTCGTCCCCCAGGGCAGCTACTTCCTCATCACAGACATCTCAGACTTCAGTGAGTGAGACTGGCCGCTCTGGGCAGGGCGCAGGGGCTGGAGGCTGCAGGGGGCTCAGTGTGGCCTCTGTCTCCCAGAGAGGAAGATGCCTGACTTGCCTGGAGCTGTGGATGAGCCCTATGACAGACGCTTTGTCAAGTGGATGATCAAGAACAAGGTGGGCTGGGCCTCTGCCGTGCAGCCATGTATGGTTTCACAGGTTGTGTGCTGCTCAAGGGTGCCCAGGCAAGAGGCTCCTGGGCCAGATCCTAGTCTGCCTCTGCCGTGAACCTTGGGGCAGGGTTGTATCCACTTAAAAGAACGAGGAGCCTTTTTTCTCTTTTCTTTTCTCTTCTCTTCTCTTTTCTTTTCTTTTCGCCTTTCTTGAGACGGAGTCTCGCTCTGTCGCCCAGGCTGGAGTGCAGTGGCACTATCTCGGCTCACTGCAACTCCGCTTCCCGGGTTCACGCCATTCTCCTGCCTCGGCTCCTGAGTAGCTGGGACCACAGACGCCTGCCGCCACGCCCAGCTAATTTTTTTTGTATTTTTAGTAGAGATGGGGTTTCACCGTGTTAGCCAGGATGGTCTTGATCTCCCGACCTTGTGATCTGCCTGCCTCGGCCTCCCACAGTGCTGGGATTACAGGCGTGAGACACCGCGCCCAGCCTTTTTTTTTTTTTTTTTTTTTTTTGAGACAGTCTCACTCTGTCGCCTAGGCTGGAGTGCAGGGGCGCAATCTCAGCTCCCTGCTACCTCCACCTCCAGGGTTCAAGTGATTCTCCTCCCTTAGCCTCCGAAGTAGCTGGGTAGCTGGGATTATAGGCACATACCACCACGCCTGGCTAATTTTTGTATTTTGTAATTTTGTAGAGACAGGGTTTCACCATGTTGGTCAGGCTGGTCTCCAACTCCTGACCTCAGGTGATCTACCCCACTTGGCCTCCCAAAGTGCTGGGATTACAAGCGTGAGCCACCATGCCTGGCCCAAGGAACCTGTTTCTCACTTGCACAGAGATACTGTGTGGGCTGGCAGGATTTCCTGCCTCTTTGGATCTCCGTCTTCCCATCTGTACAGTGAGGAGCTGGACCATTAACTCTGAGGTCCATCCAGGTTCGATCTGTGACTCTAAGGCTTTGTTCTTCTCTGGCTCTGCCCTGACCTGCTCCGTGAGCTTCCCTCTCTCAGCGTCTGTCTGCCCTCTATGCCCAGGGAGGGACTTGGAACGGCGTTCCGGGATCCTTTTCCTCTGACTTTGTGTTTGTTTTTGTTTCGAGACGGATTTTCTCTTTCACCCAAGCTGCAGTGAAGTGGCACAATCTCAGCTCACTGCAACCTCCACCCCTGGGCTCAAGCAGTTCCCCTGCCTCAGCCTCCCAAGTAGCTGGGATTACAGGCATGCGCCACAGCGCCCAGCTAATTTTTGTATTTTTAAGAGACGGGGTTTGGCCATGTTGGCCAGTTAGTCTCGAACTCCGGACCTCAGGTGATCCACCCGTCTCAGCCTCCCAAAATGCTGGGATTACAGGCGTGAGCCACCACGCCCGGCCTTTTTCCCGTGACTTTGATGCAGCACTAGGTGCAGGATTGGAGCTAACTCTCCTTCCTCTCCTGGTTGTGGGAACCCGTCTGTCCCCTCCGGGGCCAAGGCCTGCTGGGCCACGAAGCCGTGTTGAGACATGTCCTTCCTCCTCCCCAGGGCTTGGTGGCCATCCCTGTCTCCATCTTCTGCAGTGTGCCACATCAGAAGCACTTTGACCACTATATCCGCTTCTGTTTTGTGAAGGTAAAGGGCGGGGCTGGGGGAGGAGAGACCTCCCAGAGCTTCCCAAGGCCTGCTGGGGGCATGGGGAGAGTGTGGGACTAACCTATGCTGGTGCAGGATGAAGCCACGCTCCAGGCCATGGACGAGAAGCTGCGGAAGTGGAAGGCGGAGCTCTAGCCCTGAAGTCATACCTTGGCCCTGACATCCCCACCTGCCCGCAGAGATACTCTTGGGTGTCTGTCTTTGTCCAGGTTTCAGACATTTCCGGTCGGGGAAGATGCTGTTGGGAAACCTCTTCTCTGTGACACAGAATGTTCTGGGTGGGAGCCGCCCTTCTTCATCTTAGAGAACCAAGTGCCTCCTGTCTGAAAGGTGAGGGCGGCCTGACCTGGGCCTCTCTCGGCTCCTCTGTAGGTGGATTTGTAGGGTCTTGGGTTGCTTCTGGTCTCTCCAGGCTTGGCCGAGACCAACAGTAGAGTCCCACCGTGTATCGATCACATCCCAGCCCTGCATGGGCCCTGCTAAGGCTCAGGCATAACCTCACCTTTCCTGGCTCATCTTGGCCTTGGGGATTTGCCTTTAGACTTGAGTGCTCAAGCCACTCCTTTTCATCCATAATAAAATGTTTAAGTTATTCAAATCCTTCTGACATTTCCTCTCTGTTTCACACTCGAGCTGATGGCTGATCTAACTTGGTAAGAATGCCTGGGAGAACCTCAGACACCCCACAACTTTGTACAAATGATTTCTGTAGTCACATAGTTAGTGGCACAACCAGGCCTAGCACCCAAGGCCCCCAAATGATTCCTTACTATTAATCTTTTTTGTTGTTGTTGTTTTTGTTTTTTAGACAGAGTCTCACTCTGTCACCCAGGCTAGAGTGCAGTGGCATGATCTCGGCTCATTGCAACCACCACCTCCTGGGTTCAAGCAATTCTCCTGCCTCAGCCTCCTGAGTAGCTGGGACTACAGGCACCCGCCACCACACCCGGCTAATTTTTGTGTTTTTGTAGAGATGGGTTTTCACCATGTTGGCCAGGCTGGTCTCAAACTCCTGACCTCAGGTCATCCACCCGACTCGGCCTCCCAAAGTGCTGGGATTACAGACGTGAGCCGCCATACCTGGCCTCTCATATTAATCTGATGGTAGCAGTTATTGGTGCTGGGTGTGGTGGGTGGGGTGAGGGTGTTGTGGTGTGTGTTGTGTGTGTGTGTGGAGGATTGGGGCTTGTGACAAGGAAGACATGGACATTCCCACAGGGGTGAGAGAACAGCACAGTGGGGGCCAGGAGGACCCGGGACTTAAATAATTCTCAGGAGGAGGAGGACTGAATGTTGATCGTGCATGCCCTACCTGCCAGGCACTCGGACGCACATTATCTTACACAGCCCTCTGAGACTGAGACCTGAGTTATCTCCAGTTCACAAGTGAGGAAAGCCCTCTGGAGGTGAGGTGAAGTGGTGTGCCCAGGCCAGGCCTTCTAGCTGGCTCCGATTGAGTCTCACTGGATAGCAATAGTAGCTCCTGAATTTCGTTGGAAGGTGGTGTTAGGGGCCTGGTCTCGAAGTTGCATTTGCATAGCAAGCACATGGGTTTGGCTCATATCATGTTTAACTGGGTGAGCTGATAGGAATATATCTTATAATAAAATACATATTAGGTCTTTGCCCCGGTCCTTAGTAAAGAATTCCTAAAATCCTTGGAGTTTCTGGAAGATAGGCATGGTGGCGCGCTCCTGTAATCTCAGCTACTTGAAAGGCTGAGGCAGGAGAGTTGCTTGAACCCAGGAGGTGGAGGTTACAGTGAGCCGAGATCGCGCCATTGCACTCCAGCCTGGGCAGTGAAGCGAGACTCTGTCTCAAAAAAAAGGAAGAGCACATGAACGAATCTACAAGAAACCTGGATTAAATTATCTCATTTTCAGCTCCGAATCACACTGCAGCTCAAGGCCCCGGGGTCCCCATGTATAAAGCGTTACAGGAGCTAGGCGTGGTGGTGCGCACCTGTGGTTCCAGCTACTCGGAGGCTAAGGTGGGAGGATTCCTTCAGCCCAGGAGCTCAAGTCTGCAGTGAGCTAGAATCGCGCCACTGCACTCCCGCCTCGGCAACAGAGCGAGACCCTGTCTCAAAAAAAATTTTTTTTAACAAATAAACTACTCAGAGATCTGAGTGTTGTGTTTGTCCCAACTCAGAGCCATCCAAAATTCTGGACAGTACCCGTGATGCCGCCCATTTGGACACCTATTCCCCCCAACCTACACCAGCCGATGTACTCCTGCAACGCTCTGGCGCCCAGGCCACGCCCCCGGGCGACATTGGCTTTCCGATTGGACAATTTAATGGAGGTGTGGCCGGAAGAGGCGAGTCTCATTGGCAGAGGCGTGACCGACGGTGTGTGCGGAACATGGCGGAGCGCGGGAGGAAGCGGCCGTGCGGCCCGGTAAGTGCGGGCGGCGGGACCCCGCGCAGGGCAGCACGGGGGAGGCGTGAGGACCAGTGGCTTGCGGACCTCCGCTGGGACCGGGCCGCGCCTCCTGCTGCCTGCTTCCCGCTGATCCCAGGCCGGAAGCCCCCGAAGGTGCGGCGTGAGCCGCAGCAGGATGGGAACAGCGCCTGTGTCCTCTCCGGAACCCCCCTGCGGCTCCCTGGCCCCCGCTGGATTACGGAGGCGGGACCCTGCTCTCAATCCTGAATCCGGTGCCCTTTCGTGGCTTATGTCTTCTGACTTCCAGGGCGACTGTGGGCAGTCCTGTCCCCTGAGCCTCAGTTTTCTACTCTGTTCTGTGGGAACTCATTCAACAGTTTCTTGAGCGCTTTCTGTGTGCCAGGCTGGGCCCCAGGCGCTGGGGATACAGCGGGTCCCTGCCCTCCAGACGCTTTCTGGGGCAGCAGTTTGCAGAGGTTCCTTGGCTTCCTTGCCGCCCCGTGTGGCGGGGCTGGCTGTGGTGCAGCAAACGGACCTCCTCCAGGTGTGACCATCAGCCTCACACTCATAATCCTCCTACCACTCCTTCTCCAGGGTGAACACGGCCAAAGGATTGAGTGGCGAAAATGGAAGCAACAGAGTAAGTAAGGGTGGGGGTAAGAGTATCTCCCATAGACCACCAGTGCTCAAACCCTGGAGAAAGACACCAACTTTGTTCCCTCTGGGTCCTGCAGCACCCAAAGTGGGGAGGCAGGGTCCGGGAGCCCTGGGGAGGCTCCCTTGCTGCCCTCTGGCTGCTCACCCAGTAGCTCTCCATAGTCCAGGCTGACCCAATGAGTGGGAACTGTCTGCTCGGCCAATTGGGATGTTCTTTTATCCAGAGAAAGAGGAGAAAAAGAAATGGAAGGATCTCAAGCTGATGAAAAAACTGGAGCGGCAGCGGGCACAGGAGGAACAGGCAAAGCGCCAGGAAGACGAGGAGGCAGCAGCAGAGAAGGAGGACCGCGGTGAGCTGGGGTCATGGGGAGGGCCACAGGTTGTGGCCCACAGTAGTTGTCCTGGAGGCAGAGCAGATCTGGAAGGGCCCTTACAGACAAGTAGGTCCAAACATCTTGTCCTGATGGAGAAGCTGAGGCCCAGAGAAGGGAGGGAGCCAACAAACCAAGTTCTGACCTCCTGCTTAGGTAAATTTCAAGCCTATGGAAGGTAAGCCTCATCTCTCTTTTTTTTATTTGAGATGGAGTCTTGCTCTGTTGCCCAGGCTGGAGTGCAGTGGCACCATCTCCGCTCACTGCAACCTCCACTGCCCAAGTTCAAGCAATTCTCCTCTCTCAGCCCCCCGAGTAGTTGGGATTACAGGCGTGTGCCACCACACCTGGCTAATTTTCGTATTTTTTAGTAGAGATGTGGTTGCACCATGTTGGCCAGGCTGGTCTTGAACTCTTGACCTCAGGTGATCCGCCCAATTCACCTCCCAAAGTGCTGGGATTACAGGCGTGAGCCACCATGCCCAGCCCAAGCCTCATATCTCTTAGACCTCTAGAACTTCATGATCTTCCTGATTTTTTGACTTATTGAGCATTTTCTGTGTGCTTTAATTTCATTTTTCATTTATTTTGATTTCATAATAAAAATGACAGATCATGCCTGTAATCCCAGCACTTTGGGAGGCCGAGGCGGGCAGATCACGAGGTCAGGAGATCGAGACCATGGTGAAACCCGTCTCTACTAAAAATACAAAAAATCAGCCGGGTGAGGTGGCAGGCACCTGTAGTCTCAGCTACTTGGGAGGCTGAGGCAGGAGAATGGTGTGAACCCAGGAGGCGGAGCCTACAGTGAGCCAAGATCACGCCACTGCACTCCAGCCTAGGTGACAGAGCGGAGCCAGACTCTGTCTCAATAATAATAATAACAACAAAAAACTACAAAGAAGAAAGGAACAATCCCAGCAAACATTGTAGCAAAAGTTTGTCCAAACAATTATATCTACTTATCCTTGCCTGCATAGCAAAGTATAGATACAATGTTACAACAGTGAAACCCTGTTATCTATGTGCTGCTTGGGATTTTTTGTTTTTGAGAGACAGTCTCACTCTGTTGCCCAGGCTGGAGTGCAGTGGCGCGATCTCGGCTCACTGCACTCTCCACCTCCCAGTTCAGTGGATTCTCCTGCCCTAGCCTCTGGAGTAGCTGGGATTACAGGCATGCGCCACCATGCCTGGCTAATTTTTGTATTTTTAGTAGAGACAGGGTTTCACCATGTTGGCCAGGCTGGTCTTGAACTCCTGACCTCAGGTGATCTGCCCGCCTCAGCCTCCCAAAGTGCTGGGATCACAGGCATGAGCCACCTTTTGTGTGACCTTGGGCCATGTATTTGACTTCCCGGGGCTGAAGGTTCCTGGTCTATAAATGGGGATAATGGCAGTATCCTCACTAAGGATCAGGTTAATGGCTATCGGGTTAATGTGCACACACTAGATATCAGCTTTATTGGATATCAGCTTTCATTTTATCCCATTTGATAGTTGGAGAACTGAGGCACTAAGTGGGAGAGCCAGGATATGAACTTAGGCCATTGCTCCTAACTGCTCCATAGCCTCGCCCAGTGGTCTGCCCTGTTCAGAGGAGCCATGGAGATTGCCGTGTCCATTTTCCTCCTGGGAGACTGAGGCCCAGAGAGGGGAGTTGAATCTATTTTGCTCATCTCAAAATTCCTCCCACTTGGGAAATTCTCAAACCATGGACGCTGGGGACAGAGAAAGAGAGAGGAAGGTGGGGGGCCCTTGCCTCTCAGGCTGACTGGGAACACCCCTCCCCTGCTCAGGGCGGCCCTACACACTGAGCGTAGCCCTGCCGGGCTCCATCCTGGACAATGCTCAGTCGCCGGAGCTTCGGACCTACTTGGCCGGTCAGATTGCCAGAGCCTGTGCCATCTTCTGTGTGGATGAGATCGTGGTGTTTGATGAGGAGGGCCAGGATGCCAAGTGAGGGGCCATCCCACAGGGTGCCAGGGCTCAGGGAGAGGGAGGGGCTGCCGGGATGGGCCGAGGCTTCACCCTGCCCCTGTCCATATGCCTGGCTCTTCCCTCGTGTCCTGCCTGAAATACTCCTTCTGTAATCCTTAGGGGGTAGAGTTGCCAGGTGGGGGTGATGACTGCAGAGGTGGGATTGGGAGCCAGAAGGTCTAAACCCGTATCTCAGCTGTCACCCAGGC